TAGTATTCTCAAGTGAAGTGAGTTGAGGCTTGGACCCGGAAACAGCGCTTCTTACGTCACCACTTAACCGAATTGTAGGGAAAATAGCTCTTTTATTAACATTAATTATAAGCTCTTATATTCTATTATAATCTAATGTTATATTGATTGCTTTAATGTTTGTGTTTGAACCTACTTCATCTTATTTTTGATTCTGATTCTTTCTATATTTCTTTATTTTATTTTTTGCAGGATCTTGTTCACAAGTGTTAAGACATGAATTTAGGATCCAACGAACTATTCATTCATTTTTGAATTGCAGGCCAACTTACCTTATCATTTTGACATCATTAGTGATTTTTTTTCTCCTGTATTTGTTGCCTTATATTGCATTTATTAGCAGTTCTCCAATGAAATAACACAATCCTTATACTTATTTCAGTTTAATGTCAAATAGAATGTTCATTACTTTTAAACTGCTGTTAGTGCACCTGTGTTAAATCATGCTGTAAGATGCAAATACAACGCAGATCAGATAAAAGAGACTGCTTATTTGATTATGTTTGTGCAAACTATTGATTTATTTGATGTGAGGAGATAACAGATCAATGACACTAGATGGAGCCAGAGAGTGGCGTCTGATAACATTAGCGCTTAAGTTGTCAAACAATTCAAGAATGGATTTCTGATAAGGGTTATAGGTTATTTATTAGGTCTTATATAAGCTTATATGTTATATAGCTATATAGATGTTTTAGTGTACAGAAGTGTACATTTTTGATAAATGGAAGTATAACACCTTATGAAAATATGTTCATGTTTTTGTCCAATCAATTTTGAAAATCTTTGTTCAGTGATAAATTAATATGGATGATAGGAAAAGTATATAAACTATGTATCTGTCCAATAAACTTCTGTGTGTGCATCAGTTCTTTCCCCAACCATGCAGACCATTGATGATTGTGAGAGACAAAAAAACAGTTACTTAATAGAAGAATAAGAGAAATTAAATATCACGTGAATACAGTTTCCTGTTGGTCTAGATATAACAAGGTGTTTATATTTGCATTAATATTATTAATTCATATTGGACCGTTAAACTCCAGGGAAAAATATAATTCAGATTGGCCTTGGTGCATTCAGGATTATCTCAGTGTACTTTGTGTCAAACACGTACTAGAGGAAGACTGTTTGACACTCTGGTTTTTTTTGACCATCCTTCCATCCTGCCGTTACTTGTTTAACTTGTCAGATCGGTCAGGTGCTTGGCCAATTTTTTACATTGTAACTTGAGCTCAGTGTGGGTTTTTTGTGCCTACAATTTATGAAATAATTACCATATAAATTGTACTGATACTCAATTTTTGTGTGCTATCAAAGACCAGAAAGAGCCATTTCCCAGTGCTAGAGTGCATTTCCAAAAAAAAAAAACACTGCTAGCCAACAATGGTTACAGGTTTGGTCATTAGCAACAAAGTTAAATCGTTCAGTGTTAGTGCACTAGCTAATTTACAACATTTGCATGCAAATTTGTGTGGTTGGAGCTCTCGAGTTTCTTGATGTGAATTTGAGTAGGAAAAAAACTTGGAGTACAATATATGCTATTTTTCTTTCCAAATTTTTATTTTACTTCTTTTAGGTCGTGCAGTATTTTTAAAGAGTGTGTATACATATTGTGATGGGTGTATTGTTATGGCAGTGGTCGCCAACTGGAGATGGGAATCAGAGACTTGATTTAATGAGCAGAGAAAACAGCCAGGCTTGTATTTCAGTGGATCCTGTGCAGGACGGATTATTTGTTTGTTTATTATGTATAGTGCACTGCTTTGTGACTAGAGACTGCACTCGTGTGTTACGCCCATCTAGGGATGAGGTGAAACAAGTAAGGACTTGCGTAGACAAAGAATTGCAGCATAATGAGTTTATTTTAAATTGTGAGTTTAGGTTTGGGAGCTGACCAAGCCAAAATAACAAACAAAAGATTTTTGATTTTAAACCTCTATCTTACTTCACCAAAAGAAAAGAAAATACAAGTCACTACCCTAACTGCCTAACAGAGATCAAAAGTTCACAATAAACAAAACTGGCGTCAGGCTCCCTAATATCCCAATATTTACAAAACTATTTACAAATTTCAAAGGGCAATCCAAGGTCAGTGTAAAGGGGTCAAATAAACCAACACATTCCTTCTGATACAGACACTCAAACAAACTATCAAACAAATAGTACTCAGTCTATAATTCCCCCTTAACACATACAAACTCTCACTATACAATCAAACTCTGCTCATAACACAAGGTGGCTCCTGTGGAGGTGATGGCATGATTTTTAAAGTGCTGTGCACCATTCAAGACAGAGCATCAGTGAGCTTGCAGGAACCAATTAGATGATGTTTCTAGACAGACACACACACACAGACATTCCCAAAACAACACAGATATAACACGTGCACATAGCAGGATGCTAGTTTTGTGTTAAAGATGCTGTACGGTAACAATCAGCAGCATATAATAATAACAACATGTATTTCATAGAAAGTTAATTAAGTGCTTCTTGTACAAACTGTGCTAACATTTATACTGTAGTAATAGAAAATAGCCTGTAGGTCTGTGGAGTGCCCTCAGGTGGCAGCTCTACTTTGTAAAAATACACATTTAAATCAGAAAATTATAGGCTATATTTTGTCAAAAAGTTATTTTATTCAAATTATTATTTTATTTCATTTTCAGTATCTTTATGAATATATCTTCATGCATCTATAGATTTATGCTTACATCTGCGATGTGATGTGAAATAGGTAATGTTCTCTTTGCAGTTGCACGGACTGCGATATATATTTTTTTCCACAAGTGTGCACACCTGGGTCTGCTGATTTTTGTTTTTATAAAACATGAGATTGACAAAAGATATATTACGGGCCAGTGTTTTCGTTAAGTGGGTTAGCTAACTACTGAAGAAAACCCAAAAGCTTACAGTGCTTGGTATTTCTAGGCAGTCTCCCATCCAACTAACCGGGCCTGAACCTCCTTAAATTTAACGGTTATTTAAATTTTTTTTTTTTGCTTTTTATTTTGTTATTTGTCATTTTGTTTATTATTTTTGTTTTTTCCTATCTTACTACAATTATTTGTCTTTATGAATATATATTTATGTATCTACAGATTTATGTTTACATCTGTGATGTGAAATAGGTAATGTTTTCTTTGCAGTTGGATGGACTGCGGTATTGGCCACAAGTGCGCACATTTAGGCCTCTTGATTTTTGTTTACATAAAATATTGTAGACTGACAAAAGATAAATTGTGTTTTTCTGTCTATTAACTCGATTTCCTTGTGTAGGTGAGCTTAAACAGTATTTTGTTTTTTAAATTTAGAAACACTGGCTCAATTTTGAGAATCATATTAATAATAATTTTTTAAAAAGAGCCGTTTAAGTGCTTCTAAACAGATGTAAGAAGTTTTAAAACAGACTCTTTAAATTTTAAATATTTATATTTAAATGTATTTATTTATTGAAAATAAGTGTTAAAATTTAATCACACCTTTTAAGTAAGTTTGTGTGGCACTTCCACAGATAGTCAATGGTCAGTCAAGGAACTGATGGGAGTCTTATATCAGTATACTGAACTACAGGAATGCTGATTATTAATATTAACATCAAAATATGATATTTATAAAAATGGGGTATGAGGCTATGGTTGGGTCCTCTGATTTGATCAAAGGTGGCTTGAAATGTTGAGAACTGTTCCTTTTCAGAGAACATTTGAAAAGTGTAAACATAGATATTAAAAATACAAAAATAAGTTCTTCGTTTGCATTAAACGGCGTGAAAGTGCTTGCTAAATCAGATGAAATGTAAAAACTAACAAACTACTATTTAAACAAACGTTTGCAAAAACGGATATACAATGGGTACGGAAAGTATTCAGACCCCCTTAAATTTTTCACTCTTTGTTATATTGCAGCCATTTGCTAAAATCATTTAAGTTATTTTTTTTTCCTCATTAATGTACCATTTTCACTTGCATGCAAGGCCATAACCATGTTTTGAAAATTTGTATTAAAAGGAAGTATCTAAAACTAACATAAATGCCAGTATTTTTAATTCATAAAAGCAAAATTTCGCATTAAAGTAATTTATTTTCATTTTGGCAGTGTCTGATATTGGGTGGGATGGGGGGTGTCTATGGCCTTGCTTACATACATCATAAAACAATACAATATATTTATATTCAAAATAAATTCACTTCAAAATATACATTTGATACCGAAATAATAAAATACTGTAACAAACACTAAACTTGAAATATTCATAGGAGATGAAACTCATAAAATATATTTCACTGTTCTATACATTGTATAGAATAATAAATTGATATGACATCATATCCTTCATACAAAAATCACTTAAATACTGAAAATTAAATAAAATCTTAACCCTCTGGTGTTGCATGCATGGCAGTCAAAAATAATTATTATTTATGTTTGTGTATTTGTTTTCAGTTAAATGAATGTAACTAATTTTATTTTTATTTTTTTTGTTTTGTTTGTGTTTTTTTGTAATTAAATATTTTGATCATTTGTACTTGTATGGGATTTTATGGTACTAAATTATATGTTTGCATTATATATAATCAGGGGTTAAATTGGGATTTGTTACGTGGGGGGCTCTGTGATTTCAGGCTTTCGAGGGGTGCACATGTATGCAAAGCCTACAAAATCTTATATCAACTGACAAACTGTAAAACATAAGTTGAGAGAACTTCAATTAGTAAGAACAAGAAAAGTGTTTTAAAAAGCCTATATTGTTATGTTTAAGTTATGAAAAAAATGCACAAAAATACTATTTTCAAATTTTATATGAAATATATATTTTTCAATATAATATTGATATTTAGTCGATATCTAAAAAAAAAAAAAAGCATTCAATACGATTTTGTTTGGGTGCAGTACCAAATGTTTCCACATTAAATTTGGAGGACAAATTAGACTTTTTCAGGACCATTTAACCTTTTTGAATCAAAACAATTTTGTGTGTGTGGGTGTTTACGTAGCAAGGGGCAAAACTTTTGCCTAGTTTCCTACCATTCCGAGAAAGACAATACTAAAAGAAAAAAGAAAAAAAAGCACCAGAGGGTTAAATAAATCCATACCACAGACATACCACATTCCATTCAGACAGTCTGAATGATTGACTGATGATCTCTCTCTCCTATGGCTGCTCCCGTTAGGAGAATGGGCTGTTATTTAATTCTCTTCATTTATCAGAAGACACTGAGCTCTCTTCACTCAGCCTCCTGTAAGAGAACATAGAAATAATCTTAAAAGAGAAAAAGAAAAGAGAAGCAGCATGATGTACTAGAATGTACAGATACAGCAGGTAAAATTTTAAAGCAGTCCAGGAACTGAATATTCTGTTAAATGTTATTGACTAAACACAACTGGTCATGTATGTTGGTGGAAAAGTGCTAGAAAAACTTAAGAGATTAAATAAAACTGCTGAAAAAAGGTGGTGTCTGAATATGGCAAAAACAAAAAAACATATGTAACAAAAAATTAAAAAATTAAAACTTCATCAGTCCTTCTATATTAATGTATTCTGTAACTCTCAACCCCAGGGAGTCTTCATTCTGATAGTGTGTATGAATTCTGTAGCATGAATGGACATGTTGAGTTATAGTACTTTATAGATATACAAATACAAAAAACACAGGCATAAATATCACTTGAGCAAATAAACACTAATCTGAATGGCTAAGTCATGGCTTCATATCTGAAGGAAGGAGGAAGACCATTTGTGAATCAAAAAAAATTGTAATTAACAAAACAGCTGAGAAAAGAGATACTTGCCTTCGTTTTTCACTCCTTGTACATGATTTCACACCCACATATACAAAACGTATAACCAGCAGCAGCACCACCACCACCACCAATGCTGACACAATATGATGTGAACGCTGAGATTTTTCTGTAATGGACAAATAGTATATAGTAATTAGTGTAACTGGATCCTGCTAGGCCAAATTTCTGGATAAGATCTTTTTTTACACATTTTAATCATCAACTTTGGAGAAACAAAACCCCATTCATTTAGTGTGATAGTCATTTAAAAGAGTAGATGACAATTAACATACTGGATACCTGTGACATAAATTTTACTTTTTAAAGTCAACAGCAGATCAGTTCTGTAAATGATCAGTTGATATCAGCAGCACTGATGTACCTGTACATGTGTGACAGAGCTGACTGATGTCCAGATGTCTGGTCTGGTTGCTGATGGGATTGTTATGCACACAGCTGTAGGTGTTTTTCTCCTGATATTCCACCTCCAGAGGTAGAGAGAGACTGATGCTGAGATCAGACACACTGATGCTGGACAATAAACTGTTTCCTTTGTACCAGGAGAGAGTCACATCACTCACATTCACCACTGAACACAGCAGTGAACATCTGGACACTGACAATAAAGATGATGAAGAACAGTTTGAAGAGTTGCTGGAGATGACAGGAACATGCAGAGGAGCTGGAAAATATGAGGGGAAAAATTTAATTAATCTAGTGCTTTTTCACTTTCTTTAATGTCACACTACAAAGAGAGGCTGCTAATCTTGGTTCATCATAAAATATTGAAGGCTTTTTATTTTCCTTCCAAAACTCTAAATAACACTACCACTTTCCTAAACAAAATAGCAAAATGTTCCTGATTTATGAGTTCATCACATGCATTAACAAACATGCCAATTATTTGATCTAACACTTGAGACAAAATACTTTTTCTTGATTTTCTTTTTTTTTAAGATGATCAGATCAGTGTTTTTTTACAGTGTACTCTAACAAAAAAATCTATGTACAAAATATACAAAAATATAGTATTTGATATTTTGATATCAAAAACAGAATTGGAAATGTAATAGTGAAATATGCCTGTTCTAACACTGCAACTCCAGGATGAACAGATTTTTTTAAAAATAAAACCAGAATAATAAAGGTGTTGTGATTCAAGAAACGACATGGTGGTTGAAAAATTACAGTTACAATGTTTCAGGTGCTATAAGATATTGGTATCTGTATTTTACAGTTTATAATAGTATATGTCATTAAATAATATAATGTTACAAGATCAAAACACAGGGTGACACACACGACACTAGAATAATCATTACATATTTTCCCTTTTACTATATGTAAAGACAGTAACAGAAATAATTATTTTACTGTAAATGTTTGGGTAAAACTTTTTTTTTGAGAGATGTGCACAAGGTAAAATATACTAAAGGACTTTACTCACCATAGACAGTAAGATTGAATCTCTTGCGTGAAGTTTCTTTATTTGTAATGATCTGTAGCATATAAAGTCCAGTGTGTTCAGTTCTGATGTTTCTGATGGTCAGAGATCCAGTTTGATTGTTCATCTGGAGTCTGTCTCCAAATGTCTCATTACTTTCAAACATATCAATGGTCTGATTTTTGATTTCAGCTATACGAATCTCTTGAGGCCCAATCATCCACACTATCTGATCATCTTTCTGTACTTCAGTAACATCAGTGTTTAGAGTGACAGAATCTCCCTCCATCACTGACACTGACACTCCTTCATCTGTATCTGCGCCAAACACACCTGAAACACATCAGGAAACAGTTTAAGTTTCTACTTCTACAAAAGACAAAAACCTCTCTTGAGAATCTAACCAGATAAGGACAAAAATGTCTTTACATTACATTACCAACATTATTGCCTTTCCTTTATTGGACAAATCATAGTTTTCAAACATTACAAATATCCAGAAAGTCCAAAACCACATTTCAGCCCTGAGGGATCAGGAAAAAATAAACTAAAGATCACACTTTAAATCAAATCTCTGTGAGATTTGAGATATTTTCATATTGTCATAATTCTGGCTAATGACTAATAATGTCTATTAAATGTAAATGTAAATGCAAATTAAATGGTTTCATTTTTTTCTGCAGTCGAAGAAAGTATAGCCTAAATGTCAGTGATTCCTCACATTTTAAAGATTATCAAGAATTCTTTTTTTTTTTTTAATCAGTCCAATACATGATCAGTCCACTAGGCTACACTATACTTTCTTCGACTGCAGAAAAAAAACCGAAACCATTTAATTTGCATTGTTAACTTATGAATTAAATAAAAAACAATAAAATCACAACAAGAACAAAATATTTTACAATAAGAACAAAAGAAAAAAATAGACAAAATTACAAAATGAATGCTGAATGATTCAGGACTTTTTTCAAAAGCAATTGCAAATTGTATTTTCAATTGCGTTTTCCACATGTGGGCGCATAAATTGTGACAATCCAAATGCAATTGCAAATCTTGCATTACTGTTTGCATTTTCGCTTTCGCGAACGCACAGTGACTGCCACATTTCAAATGAAAAAGCAAAGTCCATTTGCAACTGTATTTCCCATGTCTTACCAGTTATGAGCCTGTCATATTTAAATAGCAATATTCATTACCACATTTGCTTTTTCACTCTCTCTGCGTTGTGCATGAAACCTGCCAAAACTCAGATGTAATCGCAATTCCTTATGCATTTGAATTTCCGATGTCTCAACATCTCTCACTGTTTCTCTCACTCCGATTGATGCAAGTAAACAGACAGTGTAATTCTACACTTATTACAGTACATTGTATTCCTTTCTTTTAATCTGTAAAAGAGCGCGTCACACCTTGTAACGAATCAGTCCACTGTAGGCGAGCGTAGTGAGAACCCAAGTGCAGTTTTATTCAAAACAAGGTGAAATCCAAAATCCAAACAAGATACACAGACTTGACTTGACTGTATATGCCCCACTGAAACAAATAAAGCAATTACTGTTTATGTAGAAGACAAAGTAGGCTTCCAATGTTCTAGCAAGTCTGTTTGATCATTTATTATCAAAGAAGCATGTCAATATTAATCAGGAAAATAAGATTTTCTTGTCAAAGTAATAACATTTTGTTGCAAAAATGAGTACACCTTCCTGAAAGTTAAAGGTTTTAAAAACAATTGTTTATCAACAGGTTACCCCAAAAGGGTGCATAAGTGTACGTAAAGTGTACTTATTAATAACTAAGCGCTGATCTATTTCTGTATTATAGATCAGTAGGTTGAAGGAGGAATATACGAGAAAAGTTTACTAGCAAACTAAAGGCACAGCATAAAGACTTTCCTGTTAACACCGTCTTAAAAAATATATGAAAATTACAGTGTTTTACGACAAAAGTTGGAGGTTACTACTTTTTAAGAATACCATAAAGACTGGTGGTTCAGGTCACAGCCAGGGGTTATATAAAATTATAGTTCAGGGATGTTATGTTGAATGGCTACACTAATAAGATCTGATTACTTCACAGATGTATCTTTGTAAAAAGAGGTGTGAATAGATATCATGCAACAGACAAAATACATGCATAATTAAAGACACGGTATGTAACTTTCATTGCTAAAGGGTGGATATTCAAAACAACAACAACGGCGTAGCTTGATGACGCTCTGAAGGAGTGGGGAATGATGGGAGTTGTTGTCTTCACCTCCACTGCTGATGGAAATCAATCAGACAGGAATCATGAATCACTTTCATGGATGAGATAATGAAATTAAATGAAGTTCTATAATTGTTGTGTTTGATCACATGATTTTATTACATTCTAATGAATTAGCCGCAAGTAATGTTAGGACGGAAATTTACAGGGAAACCATTCATTTGGAATTGTTTGAACTATTACTATGCTTTGTGTTTGTAAACTGTATTTATGAAGTAACAAAACGTGATTGTTTATTCACACAGGAATGACCTACTGTAGTTAAAGCACAATAAACTAATTTAGCTTTTTCCAAGGACCATATTTATAAAATATAGATTTCTGGCAACCGATACTCTGGTCTCATGAGGCCAAGTCAATCATTTTCGATCTAACTGCATCAAAAATGTATAATTCTAAAGGAGAATGAGAACAGTGAGTATGTGATAAGCTGTGAATTAAAAGGTATTTTTTAGTCCCAAGTCACGGTTTCACCCAGTTCCTTCACTTTACTCTGTATAGACTTAATTTCCCATTATTCCATTCATACACCTGTTGACTGTTATTATAATGCACCTTGAAGGTATCACCAGCTCATCAAGGACTTTGTTTAATCACAGGACAGCACACACCACTTCTTTGCACAGGGTTGTCGTTAACTCTATACGTATTGACTCATTTAAATGTGTTGGAATACTTACCTGTTGTTTGCTATGAAAAACCTGTTGTCATCTTCTATCTGCTCGTCCTGTTCATCATCCCGCTACTCATCCATCAGTATCTGCAATGCAAAAACTGGTATTTAAAATAAATTAACATACTAAATAATACCCTAACATTTCTTTTTAATTTAAAATTTTACTTTTATTTATTTAAGTGATTATTGCAAAACCACAGCGTCTGTCTTTGTATCATTGCCCACAAAAAAAAAAGGTTATACAGACATATACAACATATTATTATTAGCATTAGCATTATTAGCATTATTATTATTTATTGATAGTTCCAAGTCAAATACATTACATTGTCCAATTTATTCTATGCACTATATAGTAAGCAATTATATACACAATTGAATGTTGTTTGTGTGTACTTAGTATAGCTGATAGACCCTGATTTCGAAGGAAAGACTCGACTTGATATTCACTGTATTGCATTAATAGAAAGTAATTTACTATAATATGTCATTCTAGTGTTTAATTATGTGGAGGAGTCTAGCCTACTACGAAGGACTGGTATAGGAAGGACACAGCCTTGCAAGAATGCAGCCGTCCAGCTGAGAAACACCCCATAATAACTCACTCCAGCTAATATGCATGCGTGGTCAAACCTGGGCAAAACATATAAAACACATTTAACAAACCAATTGCACATATTTATTACTGAAAGTGTAATCTATTAAATGCAATGAACACATTTTCATATAACATTAAATATTAATTTCCTGTGTGATATGTTGGGACCTGTTGTCCAAGCTATATATATATATATATATATATATATATATACACATATACAGGTGCATCTCAAAAAATTTGAATATTGTGAAAAAGTTCATTTTTTAAAGTTATTTCAAAAAGTGAAACTTTCATATATTCTAGATTCATTACATGTAAAGTAAAACATTT